GAGGAATTACTGAAACCCAAATGAAGGCTGAACATGATGGTGGGACAAGAGGAAAGTAAAGGGAAATAGAGGAAAGAACTAGGAGGCAAAGGACATTTATAAAGGTCTAAATACAAGCATGTACATATGTAAATATATTTTATGTGACGATGGGGAAATAGATCTATGTGCATATAGTTATAGGTTTAGTATTAAGATAGATGGTGGACATTGGGCCTTTACTCAAGTACTCCCTAAATGCAATAACACTTTGTTCTTTTAATCTGGCATTCCATGGCACTCACCTTCCTGGCATGATTGCTGAAGACAAAGAGGGTGCATAAGCAAATGTGGTGAAGAAAGCTGATGGTGCCCAGCTATCAAAAGATATAGTGTCTGGGGTCTTAAAGGCTTGAAGATAAACAAGGGTCGATTTAGCTGAGAAACAACAAAACCTACAAGAAGCACACCAGTCTGTGTGATCATAAGGTGTTGATAGGATCAGGTATCAGACATCAAAGACCCAGAACAAAAAAATCATGTCATTGTGAATGAGGGGGAGTGTGAAGGGGAAACCCAATTGGACAATAGGCCATTGGACATCCCTTTACAAAAGGGTCACGGGGAGGAGATGACGAGCCAGTCAGGGTGGTGCTGTGTAGCACCAATGAAACATACAACTTTCCTCTAGTTCTTTACTGCTTCCTTCCTGCCACTATCATGACCCTAACTCTACCTTGCAAATCCAGCTAGACCAGAGCATGTACTCTGGTACAGATAAAAGCTGGAAACACAGGCACTCCAGGACAGATAAACCCCTCAGGACCAATATTGAGAATAGCCATACCAGGAGGGGAAGGGGAAGGTTGGGGGAGAAAGGAGGAACCAATCACAATGATCTACATTTAACCTCCTCCCAGGGGATAGACAACAGAAAAGTGGGTGAAGGGAGACATTAGACCAGGGGTCCTCAAACTTTTAAAACGGGGCCAGTTCACTGTCCCTCAGACCCATTGGAGGGCCGGACTATAATTAAAAAAAAAAAAAAACCATGAACAAATTCCTGTGCACACTGAACATACCTTATTTGAAAGTAAAAAAACAAATGGGGCAAAAACACCCAGCGGGCCAGATAAATGTCCTCGGCGGGCCACATGTGGCCCGTGGGCCGTAGTTTGAGGATGCCTGCGTTAAACTGTAAGACATGAAAAAATAATAACAATTTATAAATTATCAAGGGTTCGTGAGGGAGGGAGGAAGGGAGGGAGGGAGGGGAAAAAATGAGGAGCCTGATCCCAAGGGCTCAAGTATAAAGAAAATGTTTTGAAAATGATGATGGCAACAAATATACAAATGTGCCTGACACAATGGATGGATGTATGGATTGTATGGATTTTATTTAAAACGATGTTTTAATAAAAGATCTGTGCTTATCAGTAAGAATAGGTGCGGGGTAGTTGAAAAGTGAACACGTGGGCGGGTCAGGAGCAGAATCTGCCATGAATGGACTTCAGGGTGTGATGAACGCCCTGACGTCTGCGGTTGCATGGCAGCTGAGCCCTCCGCAGTGACCCCGGCCAGTCTGCTGTGTGGTGTCAGGGAGCCCCCATGGCAAGCCGCCATTGCTCTTCGGTCTCCCTAAAACCTCCCCTTGACACGGATGTCAACTTTGGGGGATGTCAAATCAAGAAGGAACCTGAAAAGAAACAGAACAGCCAAAGATGATGGGACCAATCCCAGCTCATTTAGCCCCATTTACCTCATTCTTAGTGTATAAGAAGCTCGTTTATTGATTGACTTTTTACATCTGTTAAGATTAGGTTTTGCTTCAAGTGGCTTAAACACCAGAGCGAACTCACTAGCACCCAGTCAATTCTGACTCGTTGTGACCATATCAGGCAGGGTGGGCCTGCCCTTTGGGTTCCCAGGCCTTCCGGGAGCACCAGGTCTCAACTTCTTCCAGGAGTGGCTGGTGTCTCCCGACTGCTCACCTTGACACTAGCAGCCCCACTCTCAACCCGTGAGGCCACCAAGGCTCCTCTGTTGCACATGGCAGAAACCCAAAAGTCATTGGGCGGAAACATAGACATGAATTATTTTTCCCCTAAAAACCTGAACAGAGTCACCCCAGGGCTGGGGGTTGGGATGGGCATTTCTGTTCCATAGGACCCAGCTCCGGTGCTGCCTTTCGGTACAGTGTTGGCTTATATCTCACTGGTCAGCACGTGTCTTACGTGAGCTACACTGACCTGTGAGGAAGGCTGGGAAACCCAATGTTCCTTCTGGGTAAGGAGAGACCATGAACCGATCTGTTTCAGGGAAGAAGGAGAGAATAAATTTGGGGAGAAAATGTATACCCGCACTATCCTTTTCACATGTCAAGGTCCCACTGTATTGACGAGGGGAGCTGTCTGATTGTCACACCGTAATACCACCCCGAAAAGCCTGGCCTCTCAAGGCACACTGACTGGATTGGAATTGAGGTTTTCCTCCCATGTGAAAAGAAATAGTATTCGTACCTTCCTCTCAAAGTTGCAATGATTGAATAACCGAATATACGGGCCAACCATTGAGCGTGGTATCAAGCACTTCAAATAGTAAATGTTGTGAAGTCAAGAGACAGGCAGTTTCTCATTGCACACTTAACTGTCAACCACGATGTGAAACGATGCGCTTGCTTTGTTCTTCACGTAGATGTGGTCCTAGGGGAAAAGTTGATGAGGGTGAAGTTTGGGGCTCTCACCTGGATGTGACTGTTCCTTATGATCACAAACAAGCAAGATAGCTGTGTTGAGATGTGCACTGCCAATGGCTAAATGTTCTTTTGCTTGTCTCTTTTTCTTCCGCCCTTTCTCCAAGCCCCTTCTTTGTTGTGTGGGTTTTCTTTGGTAACTCCTCCAGACTACAGCTTTGTCCCCCCTTCCACTCCTTTCTGGTCAGGTACTGCTTCCCTGCGCTGATGTGTCTTTCCAACTGGCTTCTGTTTGCAAAGAACACACATTGACTCCTCTGTTTGGCTTCTCACATAGATGCATCTCCCTGCACACAGTCCCTAGAAGCTCATTGCCACCATGCGCTTGTTTCTTCTCTGCCATCCAATCATTGTGTGTCATGGCATTGCACTCCTGGTTCGGTGTGTGCTCGTGTTATCACCGTCTTTCAGTAAGACGCTTTCCATTTGAGCTGTTGGGGAGAGGCTGAGGAGGGATGGAGAGAAGTGTAAAGGGGGAGGGTGGTGGTGGGAAGCACTCTCCCAGATCATTCTTTTTCTTGAGAATCAGAAATCTGAGTGGAGAGAAGATAGTGCTTACACATTGCTAGCATGCAGAGAAATAGTTTCAAAATCCCAACATTGTTTCTAAAATAGAAGAGTAAAATTCAGTGCCAATTGCTCAGAAAACGTGTCCAGCAATTCTATAGTTCTTTAGTTGGCACACGGGCGTTTTATTCTTGATCTCTGTCATCCATCACCGGGTTTAATGTGACGTTTTGAGGAGTACATCATGGCTAGGTAAAAGTGTGTTTTCTTACGGATTTTTAAAAACCAGTCTTAATCCCTGTGGAATCATAGAATTTAGAACGAGAAGGGCCGTTAGAAGTCATCTAGTTCAAACCTTTCATTTTATAGATGAGAAAAATGGGGCCTCGAGGAGTTAAGAGACCCGTGCAAGGCCACACAGTTAAGTTGATGATCAGGCTTTCCCGTCACAGGGGTATTTTATGTGCACTGAGTGTAGGAGCAGTGCCCCAGTAATGGGACAGTGTTCAGTAGAAAACTATTAGAGCCGTCTGTGTCCTGTACAGTAAAATAAAATGACCGATTTTTACTCCCTTTACAGCTCTGAAATCAACAGCTTTGCCATTCATTTGTCTTAAGACCTATACCTAGAGACCGAAAAAAAAAGCATGCCTGTCATTACAAAACCCTGAAAAATAGGCTGTGGACCCCAGTCTCAAAGTGGGTAGCTGCCATTGCTTGGGTGCCCCTGCTGGGACCCATTAGACATGCAGATGGGCAGTGTTCCCACTTGCCTCTTGTTCTTAAACTTCAGTTCCTCTACCAATCTCAGGTGAGTGATTCTCCGAATCACTGAACTATAATTGAAAACATTTTACAACCCCGAAGAGCAACAGGTAGAGAAGTTAATATGAAATGTGTTATGAGCCACCAGAGACGACACACGCACAGCCCGGACGGGTTTTCTCTCAAGGCAAGAGGAGGGAGGGCGTTGGCTCCTTTTGTGCCATCCCCGCCCCCCAAATAGCTCTGAAGGTAGGAGCTGCACACCCGGACACTTGTTTTTGATGAAATGCTCAGCGAGGCAGGGAAGGAAGACGGTGTCCTGTGGCTGCTGCTTGTGTGCGCTTTCTGGGAAAGATGACTCGGGTGTCTTCACGTAAGTGCAATTATAGCTGAGTCAGGAGCAGAGTTCATATCCAGACAGCGGGAACGCCAGCCTGGTTAGTGGGATAGTACCATTTAACTAGACATGATGACATGAATTTTTGTTGTGAAGATGACATTGAAGTGGAAGACATTACTTTGAGAATCGTAGAGGACCTCAGGGGTTCCAGTTAAAAAATGGATGATTGTGCCATCAATGGGAGATGCAAAATTATTAGAGATTCGGTAGCCTTAGATAGTCACTTAGATACCAACCCACTTCTTATGAAAGCCAGTCTTGATTTTGAAGTAATTATGAAGGCTCTTTCAATCAGGGTTTTGAACCGGTTTGTTCTGATCCACCCGATGCTGAGAATGTTCCTTTGTACCCCAGATATACCGAATCAGAGTCGGTATTTTGAACAAGACCCCCCTCACCCCGCCCCCGGTGCTTTAAACAGCCGTGCGCCTCGCCTGACCACATCTGATCGGATTGAAACCAAGTCTGCTGCTTGCAAGCTCCCCTGCCATGCTCACTGCTCTATGACGCAATCACGGCTGCACATTTAGATAGCATCAACGGCATCCATCGGATTAGCATCTGCCCCTCAACCCTGAAACCCTCGTTTCTTTACAGTGCTGAGCCCCAAAGTGCTGGGCATCGCCGTTGCTCGGTACGACTTCTGCGCGAGGGACATGCGAGAACTGTCCTTGTTGAAGGGCGAGGTGGTGAAGATTTACACGAAGATGAGTGCCAATGGCTGGTGGCGAGGAGAAGTAAATGGCAGGGTGAGTTGTCCCTCCCCCTGAAGCTGCACCTGGAGGAAGGGGGGCAGGGGACATTGGGACCCGCTGTGGTACTGATGAGAAGTCCCTACTGTGCCTTGACAGCTATACCCTTCAGCCCCTGGCTTCCAGAGCCCTGTGCTGAACCTCCCTGATAATCACCCAGCTCCCTGCCGTCGAGCCCCTGCTGGCTCAGAACCACTCCACAGGCGAGGGTAGAACTGCCCCGTGGGTTTCGTGGGAGGAGAGAGCCCTGTCTTTCTCCGGAAGAGCAGCTGGTGGTTGCAAACTGCCAGTCATGCAGTGGTCACCGCCACACCACCAGGGCTCCCCAGCATCCATCACACACGTGGGCAGGGCGATGGCTTCCTTTAGAGAAAGGCAGAGGGATTAGCAGAAGCACTGTGGTGTTTTTATCCCCGAAGCCTTGCAGCATACACTTTTTGTCCAGTTGAAACTGTGGATAAGCGGTGGTGATTGAATTGGAAAGCCCGGGCCATATTATCCCTGTTTTCACCTCCTGTTCTGTGGCAGAAAGAGGACTTACCATGTAGTGGAGCCCCATCTTGCCCTTAATTTACATGTTTATTTGTATGCTGGTGGGCCTAGAACCCTCTGTAAGTTTGTTTCATCCTTGGTTTCTATCTAGCAAGCTTCTGAGACCAGTGCTGCCCATCTTCTCCCCCTATGGTGGACACAAAACTCCGGCTCTAACCGGGGCGTGACGAAAAGGAAATTCTCAGTTGGTAGAACCCTTTAAAGTGCCAGATGCCAAGCCCCATTGCTATCTCGGTTGCTTTTCTTCTTCCAGGTGGGCTGGTTTCCATCCACGTACGTGGAAGAGGATGAATAAATGCGAATCCAGCGGTGGGATAAACAGAGAAGGGATAAACAGAAGACTGCAAGGCTCTCGGAATTAACTGAAGTGTTTAAAAAGCGGCGTGTCTGGCACTTCAACACACTCCTCTCCCCCACCCCCTCCGGCCCCTCCTAAGTCTTAATGCCAGGATTTCTAAAGATGCTGGTACTGACAGATTAATGGCTTGCCTGAAGCTGGGCAAGAAACAGCCCGCCAGTCTGTCATTGTCAGGGACCAGGGCAAAGCCCAAAGCTGTTCTTCTCAAAAGAGCTCCGACGCAGACGCGCTGGTTCATGTTTCTCTTTCCTCCATCCGGTCAGACTCCATGAAAGCCAGCCATTAGTACATGTTGAATGCATATTTACTTTTCTTCCCCCGCGTCCCATTCACCAGAAATTGTCATCGTATGAAGAGCCGGAAGCTCAATTTTTCATTTCCCAGCAAGAAGAAAGCGAGGCCTCCGCCGTTTGGACTGCTTACTGGAAGGACGAGCCTTCCTTCCCTTACAGCGTCCGGCAAGGTGACTCATTGCCTGGCAAGCACGTGCACCGCAGATGCTCCTCGGGGTGAAACTAGCAGGGAGATTGCCCAGGTTTGCTTCCTAGGAGATCTACGGACGCCACGGGAGCTTTGATTCTTCATTTGATTGCCTGGTTATGTTTGCAAACTATTTTTTTTTAAGGAAAAAGTACAGCAGATAAATTTTCAATGTTCATGAGGTGGTTTTGGAAATGCCATGCTTCAGCTTCTGAAGTAACCCTGCCCTGGGTGTTCTGGGTGGCAGCATGGGCAGCACCCCTGAAGCAGTGCCCTTGCTTACAGAAACAGATCAAGGGCATCGGTGAGAGCCGGTCATGGTATAGGAACAGGATCCACTAACACCTGCCTTTCCTCCCTTAAAGAAGCTTTGGGCCAGATGTGCCCACTCCCAATTCCCCTTGAATCTCCAGGGTGGCCCGGATGGCTTTGTTGAGGAGGCTCCAAGACAAGCACAGGTGTGTCCTTTATGCATTTCTGGGAACGCAGAGGGACGCTGGGCTTTTCAGGTGTGGTTCACTGTGGGCTCCCAGCTTCTCTAGGAAGGCTTCCCTCTGGAGACCCCCCACGGGGCTCTAGTGACTGGTGGGAGGATGCGCTTTGCCCCCCGTGTATTTACAAAGCCTTCCCTGTTTGATGGGAGGAGTCTAACTAGGCTCCGCCTGGGATGCGCCCAGGCCCCAGCCAGGGCAGCTAGGACACTAACATGGCCCTTTACTGATTAGATCCTTTCTCCAAAGCAGAAGCCAAGTTTGAAAGGTTATGCAGTGTTTCTGGTTTAAAAGAAAGAGGAAGAAAGAAAGAAATTAGAAGTGTCAGCATAACAGGGCCAGGCTAGGAACATTCGGTTCTGAAATTTTAGATCACCCCTGCAATGGGGTGTGGGGTAGGTATGACTGCCCACTCCCCATCCACTTTGTTGTCAGAACCTGAGGTTTGGGCAGTGGGTCCCATGAGCAGAGACCCACATGGGATAGGACTTCTCATCTAGGATAGCGTCAGGGCGTTTACCTCGGAATCATCCAACTGTGATTGTGTTTTAGAAAAACGACTGTTTGCTGAAACCCGTTAGTGTTGTATATGTGTAAATGATCTCCAGTGTGTGTTTAAGCCGATGTCTGTACAGTAAGTTCTACCCTGGGAGAATGGTCTTAGAATGCATATCCTTTCTTATCAAGTCTTATTGGTGACCCTGTATCGGGGGAATGTTCTGTCTGTGACTGTCAGCCAAATGTTGTTTTGGGGAGAAGCAGCTTCACCCAAGTGATGTGTGGACAGCATTGTAGCTTGTGTTGTTTGGTTTAGCAAATCGACTCCCACCCTTCAACATGGCATCTGGTCTTCCTGTTGCATTTCATGGACCAGGAGTGTCTCCTAGCAGAGGATATTGGCACCCCCTTTTTGACATACAGCTCTTTGTCTTTAATATTTTGTATTGGAAACTTTAAATGCTGCGAATTTATGTAGATTTCTAATACCAAAGACAGAAGTACATGTTTTTCCAGATACTTTGTCTTGCCTGTATGCAGCCCTGTGTAATATGGTGACTCGTAGTGGTGTTTCACTTTGTAACATTTTGTAAATATGTCAATACAATAAATAGTGACTACTTGCATTAAATTGGTTTCTGGTGAGTTGAGTCTTTCTATCGAACGACAGGGTACCTCGCCTAGACTGACCTAATAAACCGGAGAGCAGAAGCCCTGACTTGGATCAGCTTTAGCTAAAGATTCGGGGTAAGTTCGAAACAGAGAACTAGACGTGAAATAGCTGCAAATAGCACGTATTGCCTTGGTTACTATATGCCAGGCCGGCGCAAATGGTTAAGGACCCTACTAGAAGTGGGTGCTTTGAAGCCCCTTGGGGACAAGCCAGAACAAAAGGCCTGACAATCTGTTTCTTGAGAACCCCTGTGGGACACAGTTACACAGCAGCATGTGGGATGGCCAGGAGTCAGAAGTGACTAGTGTCTGGGTTTGGTGATCCAACACCCCCCCCCCCGTCCCCCCCACACCCCCCCACACCCCCAGATGCCCTGCACATAGACTTCCGACAACCCCTGGATGGAGAACACCTTCACACACCTCTTTCTTAGATCGAGAAAGAAAGAACTGAGACACAGCAAGGTTGACTTTTTGCCGACAGTCACACAGCTGGGGAAGAGTTAGACATCAAGCCCAGATACTCTGTCCCCAGGGCCCACGTCCTTCTTAGCCGCTGCCCTATGTCGCCACATTTCTAGCTACTACAGAAATGGGGGCGAGAGAGATTGGGTACCTTTCTACAACTGCATAGCCAAGAGAACCCACTTGGTACTAAATAGTGGGTTAAACAATGGCAGATGGACAGGGAATTCAGAAATATTCCCTTAACCCTACCCCCTGAACACTGCTACCCTGCCCTCAAACAGGTAGTTCCTAAAGTGCTTGGTGTGGAGTTGAACTTTTTGTTTTTCTTTCAGCATGTAGCTAACTGATAAACCAAAGACTCAGAGGCAAGCTCTCCTCATGAAAGGCAGGCCCACAAGCTCTGAGAGATGGGGACCCAAGTTCCTTCTAAAGACAAAAGGGGCCACTTCAACTGTGGGAGGCCCTACTAGATACCATGCTGACATCCATGCTCAGGAATACACCCCCCCCTTCCTCATTGAGTACATTCCAATTCACAACAACCATCCGTAAGGTTTCTGAAGCTGTCAGTCTTAATGAGCACAGACCGCCTCACCCTCGCTCCTGTGGAACAGTTGTTGGATTTGAACAGCCAACCTTTCTGATAGCAGCCCAACACCAAGCGCACAGCGCCACTAGCACGCCTTCGTCTTTATTGCAGTATGCTGTCTTATCTACCCCTCACTTCCTTTGTTCCAGGAGCCCAGTCCACTGGTGTTTTCATTTCATCATTTTTACATTTTAAAATGCATGTGACCTTTACAAGTGTATTAGGTCATCACCATCCTCACCAATGCCGCTGGATCGTGCTTTGTGCCAGTGCAGAGACCCTTATTCACATTACTGTGCATGCATATTCTTTCACACACTTCAAGTATTTGCTCTTCCACCAAATATTAAAGGAAGAGGTATCAGCAGCCAGACTTAGCAGCCCTGCTGCACTCTCTTAATTCGGCAGCTGTACAGAAGGAACCCTGGTGGCTTTATGTGTTAAGAATAGGGCTGCTCACCCCAAGGTTGATGATTCAAACCCACCAGACACTCCCATGGGAGAAAGGTGAGACTGTCTTCTCCCTTAAAGATATAATAGTGTCAGAACCCCTATGTAAGGTTGTGTTGTTGTTGTTTTTCAGCTTGGTGGCAGTGGGTTTCTTTGTGGTTTGCACGCACACAAGGCCTCATGGGAGAAAGAGAACCCCCCAGGGGCAGCTCTGTCATGTGGAGTCGTGATCAGTCAAAGTCCACTCAGGAGCCCCCAACAAGACCAACCATGGAAGAGTCAGAAAACGGTTTTTTTTTTTTGTGAACCTCTGTCCCACTCCGTCTCAGCCACCTGACGTCATGATAGCACCTGCCTCCCAGGGTGGTTGTGCTCGTGAACCGCACCTAGTCATCAGATGGACGTGAGAACACCTTTGGGTAGTTGCCACCTTGAAACCACCAGCGGCTCTGTGGGTGACAGCGGGGGCTTTCTACTCCTGTAGAGTTATACAGTCTTAGAAATGTAGAGGTGGCCCTCTGGGGGTGCTATGAGTCAGCGTCGACTTGATGCAGGGAGTGTGGTTTGGTTTATGGCTATCTGAGAAAGCTGTCTTGAAAAATAAACAAGATATAATTTGGAAAAGATCCCCGAGGCAGGGTCGCCACAGAGGAGGGACTCAGGAAATGTTGGTCTCCTTCCTTTTTTAACCGAAATACTCAGGTCCTAAATGACATCCCAGCAGCCTTTGGTTTACGACTAGCAATAGCCCAGACTTTCTTTCTTTGTTACACATAGTTTATTTTGCAGCATCCAAATTATAGATGGAGTAAAAGGTAGATTTGAAGGAAGATTAATATGCAAACCCACACACAGTCTCAGAAGTTGAACTTAACAGCTTCACATTATTTTGAGCAGGAAAATGGAATTTTCACCCAGCTCATAATCATTTAGGCTTAGTCCATTAATCACTTCACTTTTCACTGAAACTTGTTTTCTGGGATTAGTCGGACTCTGATGAGGAGTATGATGCACTGCACGCCCTGCAGATTTTATTCTAAGTAATGGACAATTCTGACAAGGGGGCTTAACAAGGCATCTTCCCTTTCGGTGGATATCATCACCTAGGACATGGGGGTAAAGAATGACAGAAAACAAATAGAGAAAGCTTCGCCCAGAGCACCCTAGACTCTGCCTTGGCCTTGGAACAGCAGAACGACCTTGAAGTTCTGGACTCCGGGTGCATTCAGAGTGACTCTCACCTGTGGTCTGGCGCACCTTCCAATGTGAGTGGGCTCAGTATACAGTCAGCAGGCACACAGATGCCCCTCCGTGCCCTGTCCTGTCCAGGTATGTGCTGAGGGGCTCAGGTGGGTCAAGGTGAACTCCAGAATGGCCCGTGTGTTCTATCTGTTGTTGGCTACCAGAGGCTTCACACTCTCACCTGCCCAGTGACCTGTGCTAAGCCCCGTCGTCTCTCTCTCTCTCTCTCTCTGTCTCTCTCTCTCTCTCTCTGTCTGTCTTTTTCCAGAAAAGGAAAGGGCTGTGCTAGTTGGCCTCCTCACTGGCCACCAACTCTGCATTCTCTCTGAGAAGCCAAGTGTGACTTGACCTTTAACTCTCAAGGTCAGGAGCTGGCTGTGAATGGCCATGACTGAACCTCAAAAGCTGCAGCTCCTCAGGGTAGCACTGGTAGCACTGGCCACTTTTCAGCTTATGTTCCGAGGTGACCTCGATCTTGGAATGACTTGCCTGGGCAGCTATGCTTCTCCATGTCCGGCTACATCTCCCACAGGCAGAAAGGCAGCTGGATGGTGCTATTCACTGCCTTCAATGTGCTCCCTGTTCAGGGCCACTTCATGCGAAATGGAATGAAACTTTGCCCTCCTCATCATAGGTTGGTGATCAGAATGTTGTGATCATTCAAGTTTGTAATGGGCGGAACTTTTGAAATCGACCACCAGGCTTGTTTTCCTAGTAGTCCATCTTGGTCTGCAAGCTCCACGGACCCTGTTCAGCCTTGTAACACCACACAAGCCTTCCCTGACAGCCAGCGGGTGGGTGTACATGAGGTGCATAGGCTGAGACTTGAACCACATCTCCCACGTGTGCAGTTAGAATTCCACCACTAACCTGCGCTCTTGAGAGGCAGGTACCCTCAAACAAAATAAACCCATTGCCATCAGGACAGGGCCTCCTTATTCTCTTTCCACTTTAGAGCCACGGAGGCCGAGGCTCTGTGAGATGATCTACCTGACTTGCTCAAGTTCAAACAGGTGGAAAATACTGGCAAAAGAGGGACTCAAACCCCAGAGCCCAGCTCCAGGTCCATCCATTGAGTGCTCTATGCATTCACCTGGTATACAGCAGTGCCCAGAAGCGTCTGATTTCCCAGAATTCTCCCTATAATTCCCAGGGCCTTTCTTCTGAGAATCATTCAAGGGAACTGCTACCAGAACTGGGAGCAGCTGCTGCTGGCCTCCTGCGTCAGGTGAGAGTGTGGCTGGGGCATGATCCTTGCAGCGCCTGCTGTCAGGATGTATTGATGAGCTTGAAGTGCATCAATGGGTCTATAAACTGAGTAAGGACACGGATGTGTGGGCAGTGAGCCAGAGTGGGATTTTCTAGTGATTAGAAGGGCCTCTCCTCAGAAAGTTGACAGGCTTTGCATCAATAACTTAGGGTCTGTGTCCTTTCCTCATGTGTATGTGTGTGTGTGTCTAAATGGGTCAGGAGATGGTATATGGTCTCACTAAACTCCTCTTGAGAATGCATCAAACATTGAGACCCTACTGGTAATCACAGAAGCTCAGGTCTGGGTAAGTATGAGGGTTGGCCTTTAAGACTGTTGGTCCTATTATATCATTCTACATAGACGGTCTTATTTTCTAAGAAGTGGTCTTCACTAGGGGTTAAGACTTCAGTATTAGAACCAGTCCACTCGCTAGCTGTGTATACCCAGGCAAGTTGCCTATACTGGTTGTGCCTCCGTTTTTGAAGATTAACTGAGATGGGATAGTAGGTATAAAATGTTTAGAAGAGTAGCCAAATAGACAGTAAAGAGAGTTGCTTTTCTTCCTCCCTCCCTCCCTGCCTCCTTTCCTCCCTTCCTCCCTTTCTTCCTTCCTTTTTTGGCCACCATTTTTCATACATAAAAAAGCCCCCTTTGACAACCAAACCAAACTAAACTTATTGCCACCAAGTCAAGAATGACTTATAGCGACCCTATAGGACAGGGTCTAATTGTCTTTGTGGGTTTCTGAAACCATAACCCTTTATGGGAATAGAAAGCCTGCCTTTCTCTGGAGGAGCAGATGGTGGTTTTAAACTCATGAACTTCCAGGTTGCAGCCCAATGCATAATCACAATGGCACCAAACACGTATACTTTCTCCATTGGTGGGGGTCTGGAATCATTCGGTGGATTACCTGGGTTTGTTAGGCTGGGTTGCCTAGAGAAACAAAACTTGTGGC